TGTCCATATGACTGAGGGTCGTTCATTGTATGATGGCCTTGTTCGAAATGCAGCTGGACAGTTCTTGGTAGCTTGCACGGGTCATTTTGCGGGGGTGCTAAAACCTCACATTGCAGAGGCCATCGGCCTTAGGGAGGTTCTATCTTGGTTGCTCACGAGATCTATTGGTAGGATTCTGGTGGAAACTGATTGTCTGTGACTCTTTCAAGCCGTAACTACTAGTTTTGATTCTTATTCCGACTGGGCACCAGTGCTAGAAGAGATTAAACAACTGCTTTTTCAAGTACCAACTAGTGAATTGGTTTGGGTTAGGAGGCAAGGTAACAAGCTTGCACATGCTCTTGCTCGTGTGGCATGTTTACATCCTTGTTTCCGTCTATGTGACTCGACTCCCCAATGTATTACAGATCTTATTTCTCATGATTTATTATAAATATATGATCTTATTTACCTTCAAAAAAAAAAAAAAAACTTAGTCAATTCACTACATAAGGGATTTATAATTAATTCGATTAGTTCTATTAGGATTTAAAATGATTTTAATTTCTTTAAGTGTTAATATTTTTTCTTAATTTCCATTCACTTATATAAGAAATATACACTTATTCAATTTATGACATTAGAATTTCTACTTAATACGTAATGTTAATATTGCGGATTTAAAATAATTTTAACTATATATTTCACCATTAGAATTCTTGATCCAATTACTCAGAGCATCTCTAATGCTAATGTAAATTATGGTTGATTTGTCATATGGAATAAAATGTGTGAATAGTGATTTTGCTGAATATCTATTTATAGACATTAAATTTTAAAAATCTCTTCAATGAACTACTTCCAGATCATCTTGCATCCTCTTTCTTCTTTTCTTCTCTAGATCCATAATTTAATATATATACAACCAATCACTATAGACCAATAAATGTTCATATTATCTAAGAGGCCCTCTAGAAATAGAAGGTATGGTAGAAAATGTTTTTTTTTTTTTTTTGACACCTCAATTTGACATATCGAATAGACATTAGCATTAGAATGTAGTTTTGAAAAACCTTTCTATTTTTATAATGTGGCAATTAATCTCTATTAATTTCTATTACCATATAATGAATTATCATTTAAGTAAGTTTCTTAAGATAAGATTTTATCACTGTAATCTAGGTGAAATTAAAATTGGAGACAAAATGAATAAAGGAAAAAGAATCCAAGATAATGTAAGAGCAAGGCTTGTGCTTTTCCTCTTTAAATATATAGAGCCAGCCAGAAGTGAGAAGGGAGACCCCAGAGAGACAGCACCTTTGAACCCAATGCATGCATGTCCCTTTTGTCCAAATCCACCAATCAAAATTTCATCAGCCTAATGCATAAATTTATCCTTAAATTTTATCTCGGTGAAAAGAGCTATAATATTATGATAAACCAAATATATAAAAATGCCCTCGAACTTCAAAAAAAAAACCTATGATACACTAAAATTTGTGAATAACCTATTATGCCCCTACAGTTATAAAAATTGATAACTTTACACACCTCACACAACAATCCTAGAATAACTAAAAGAGCGTATATACACGCTCGTCAAACGACATCATTTCTTTTTCTTCATCTTCTTCTATCATCTGTCTTTTATCTTTACAATCCTAGAATAACTAAAAGCGTATATACACGCTCATCAAACGACATCGTTTCTTTTTCTTCATCTTCTTCTATCATCTGTCTTTTATCTTTACAATCCTAGAATAACTAAAAGCGTATATACACGCTCATCAAACGTTTTTTTGATTTTTTTTTTTTTTTTTGTCTCTCTCTTGCTCTCTGTCCCTCTCTTGTTCCTCTCTTTCTCTTTAGTTATCATTGCGGAATCCAGATGGTCGATGATTCATGCAATGCCAAATCGAGATGGAGAAGGACTCATATAAGGGCATTTGTGTATAAATTGTAGTCGATTGATAAAATAGAGAAGGCAAGCAAGATGAGTTAAATTTCAACAACAGTTTGTTTGTTATTTTCATCAATTTGTGTTTGTTTTGTTTTTATTTTCTTAATTTTTTATGATTTTTCCATTTACATCTCATCTCTTGAATCCTTTTATGACTGTGTTTTTGAATCCGGGAGAGTTTTTCTTCGATTTGGGGTTATTTTTTTATTTTATTATTTGTAAAATATTAATGTTTGAATTTTTTTTTTAAATGATTTTGGAAGAAGGTGGACAAAATAAAATCCTACATTCTTATTTTATGAGTTTTTCTTTTTTGTGTATCTGTAGTTATAAGAAGCTTCTTCCTCCTCCTATGAGTTTCTGCCATTGAAGCATAGTACTATAACTTTTTATAATACAGTTTATTCTTTTCAATGGGAACTTGCAAATTTAGAGAAAATTTTCAACCTTAACGTCAATTTTCATATTAAGATTGAATGAATAGTAAATAAATTAGCATTTTTTATTTGGATTCACTTATTTAATTCAAAATTAAAAACTTTATACTTTTGATTTATTTTGAAGTTTTGGTGAAGAAAATATATTCGCAAAGAACGGTGAAAGATACGGTGGTGGTGAGTGGATTAGAGAAGGAAAAGACATTAAAGTACAAAAAGGCCCACTAATTTTTTTTATTAGTTAAATGCCATCTAAACCCCCTTTTTTTTTAAGGCTTATCAGGAGAATGATTTTCACATCGGGCTTTGAGGTATTTAAATAAAATAAAATTGATAACTATAGAGACATAATAGATCACTCATAAATTTTAAAATATTGTAGAATCTTTTTTTAAAAAAAGTTTAGACGCATTTTTATGTATTTGGTCTATTATAATAATTCCCTCGCAAACTCAAATTTGCACTTAATGATAACATGTCATCAATTGGCATTATCACAAGTTTGCAATCATGCAAAACAGTTAATATAGTCAATATCCAATTAAGTAAAATGGGTCAAAAGAAGGAGGAGAAACATAAAAAGGGAAAATTACTTTACCTAAAAGCATTGGTGTTGGGATTTCAAATTTCATTTCAAATCTATAAAATAAAGAAAAGAGGAAGAATTTTTTTTAAAATTTTTTTTTAGAAAAAAGAAAGGCCCAAAAAGAAAAAGTAGCTAGTAATCAATTGCATGGCTAAATAAAAGATCAAAAAGTGATAATGATTCCAAAGTAGGATCCACATAGCAAATAATAATCATCATACTTAAAAAAAAAAAAAAAAAAAAAAATATAATTTTTTTTAAGGAGTGATAAGTTGGTGAAAACTGATTATTGATAGAGTAAATATGTAATGAATGGAGTGTATACGTATAATAACGTAAATGCATGTCAAGATATATAGTTTAGTGATAAGTGCACATACGATCTGACAATAGATTTATGTTCAAATTTATCTCCTAATAATGTAAATATTTAACATTTGAATCTTAGCACTTTTATTAAAAAATTGAAAGAGAAAAATGCCTTTAGGGAGTTATGCTATATAATATGACTAAGGCAAATGAAATAATTTTACAAATAATTTGAGTAACAAAAGTTAATATTTTTCTTTTTAATTAAATCTATCACAACAGTATTTGATTACTGAAATTCGATATTATTATGAAAAATTATTATTTTAAAAAAAATTCGATATTATTATGAAATTCAATGAATTTATGGAAAAAAATATATAAATCATAATAGTATCCATAGTTTATGAATATTTTATTTAATGACTAAATGCGTAGACTCACATCTGTATTTTATGCAAAAAATCTTATGGTCCTCTCAATTTTTATTTTAACCTATTAAATATTTTAATTTATAAATTTATACATATTTGAACAATTTAATTTACAAAATTTTTTTTATTGAACATTACATGTTGTAAAGTTAAATCAATTAAACAATTACTAGATAGTTAAAAATATAAATATTATTATTTCAAAAAATTGCTGCAACTCTTCTAAAAAACTTGCTAAATAGTATTTTTCATATAGAAGCAGCAATAAAGAAAAAAAAAATTATAGCCAGCATGGAAATGTATGCGATCTTTTCAAAATTTATTATGAATTTAGGAAAACAGTAAGTCTTTCCAAATTTGAAATGCCATAATTTTTCATTTAGAGTATGAGTGAATTTATATATTAGGTCTTTCTTTAATTGATATCTCGAAACATAGATGTTATTTCAAAAATAATTAATAAATACAACAAAACGATGACTTAAATGAATATAAAAAAATAAGTTTAAAATATTTTGGTCAAAATTAATTAATGAGATGTTTATATAATTAAGAGTGATAATATTCCATCTTTTTCCCTTTTTTTATGAAATAAACATAATGTTCCGATTTTTTTTTTTTTTTTTTTGAGAATTTAACTTTCTTTCATCCTTAGAAGAGAATGTACTTTTTCGATAATGTTTAATGTATTAACCAAATGCTGTAATCGAACCTCGTCAGTATTCTCAAATCAATTTAAAAGAATTAAGTATTTTTCTCGTAATTTATGAATTTAAAAATTATTCTTTTGATATACTCTATATATTTAACTTTAGTTAATAATTTTAAAATTTTTTGATATTTATTCTATATATTGATTTTTTAAAAAATATATAAGTTTTTTTAAAAAGGAAAAATTATGATATTATTCAAATATTTTACCTAAACATTGCGATTGCATTTTTAGAAATACATAGTTTTATCTTGTATTTTTTGTCTCATTGATGTTAACTCTTTGTATTTTTTTTCCATTAATAAATTAATTATTTATTCTGTTAGTAAATTAATTATTTATCTTTATATTTTTTTTGTCAAAATTAACTAATTTATTCTTAGATTTATTGAATATATTTTGTCCCTATATTAAAATTAAATAATATGTTTTTCTATTTAATTAAAAAATAAAAATTGAGAGAAGGATATAAGAGTACACCGGAAGAAATGTATTTCTAAAAAATAGAGATGTGAACTCCTGTATTGTAAATAATAATATTCCCTTTAAAAAATCAACCAATAAAACTCATATAAATTGGACATGTATTATTTATTTTTTAAATTAAAAGAAATTTCTTTCTTTCGTTTTTTTTTTCCCCTCTTTTTTCACAATGTGTGTGATAGGAGAGCGGTACCTGTTGATGGTGGCCAGAGGCGGGCAAGGGGCGTATGGTGGCGGAGTCAACTTCACCAGTGGGCAAGGGAACAGCAGGATTACTATTTATAAACGGCATGCTGCTGCCGCCACCTTTATCAGATGGAATCACGGTTGGCACTGTCATCGGAGAGCTTGCGCCAACGCTACTGGGTACCGGAGCAGGTGAAGAAGCTTCTTCACGAGGACGGAATGGCCATGGATAAGCTGGAGAAGATGACACTTCACCACCGGAAATGGGTGCTGGAATTGGAGCTGCCGCTGGACTCAGTTCTACTGGTGGTTGCGGTGGAGAGACCTTTATTGACAGTTTTAGAGAGTCTTGATTACAAGATTTCAAAGAGCCATTGTTGAATGTGAAGTAGTAGAAACCAGTGCGTGATGGATGCCACTTTATTTACATTATGACAAAAAAAAACTAAAACTTATTAGCTATTTTATAAAAAGTTCAAAAACTATTCTTTGCATTGTAAAAGAAAATTGATTAGGACCAAAGATTTCAAGAAACTTAGAGAGAAAATTTTCAAGAAATAAAGACAATGCATGAGAGTACAAAGAAAATAAAGAAACTGGAGCCAAAATTTTCAAGAACTTAGAAAAGTTAATCAATGAAGTGAGATTAATTAATTAATTACTTTTTAAAAAGGAATCTAAATTTTGGTAATATTGATACTTGAACTTTCATTATTTTAATTAAATTAACAGTGTCTATGATAATAAATTAAAAATTTTGATTCCATCAATGACATTGTGTGGTCTTTGACTTATAAATCTTTTTTCTAATCCTGCAATTTCATTAAACATAACAAAAAAAAGAAACCAGGAAATTTGAGCCAATTTTCCAAGAACCCAAACAATGCATAGGAGCACAAGAAAAGAAAAACAAGAACCTGGAAAACGTATAAAAAAAATGATTTTTGAGCTGTATTCAGTAAAGAGAGAAAGAGAGAGATACCGTATAGGAGATGGAGTTGGGCTTGGTGAGGAGTGAGGCTTGAGTGAAGTTGCAGAGATTGAAAGCTCTTTGGTTCTGGAAAATGTAGAGGTTGTAGTGATACTTATGTTTAAAAACTGAAAAAAAAAAAAAAAAAAAAAAAAAAGACATGAACATGAAAATGGAAAAAAAGACAAAAGAGAAGGAACGTTAGTAGGTAGCCAAGAAAGAAACAAGAAACTAAAATCTTTATGGGTTATTACTATTATTTTAAGTACTTACTTATTGAATCACCAACATGAACAGTAGGATTTTTCCATTCTGAAACACCATCTACTAATATTGTTGTGGAATTACAAATTTGAAAGATTAGGGAAAGGAGAAGAGAGAGAAGCAGAAGCATAGTGGAGAAAGAAAATGAAATTTTCAGGGAATCTAATGTTTTTGTAAGTAATAGTTAGAAGGATTTAATTTGAGTAATTATAAGGAAGAAGGAGAAGAAGTTTTTGAAAAATGTGAATTGACTGTTAAAATGTCAGATGTGTTTGGCCTTTGGTGGGAGGAGAAATATGGATGACAGACATAATAGACATTGAAGATTGTGTTTTGTGTCTGTATATATTATTATTATTATTAGTATTATTTTACACAGTAAAAGTTGAAATGATTTTGTTTGTGGAACATCTTACCCACGTCATTAAAAATTTAAAAAAAAAAAAGGGGAAGGGAATAATTAATCTATTAATTAATTAAATGAAGAAAGAAAATTTGGGTGATGAAAAATGATGGGGATTATTATTCTTAAATGATTAGTCCTTTGCCTAGAAAGCCTATAATCACTTCTTCATGTTGTTCTTTTTTTTATTACTATTATTTTCTTGGGAGGAGATGAGGAATCTAATTTTTACTTTCTTCTATGAAATCTCTTCCTTTTCTTTTAGGAATTATTTTAGTGCTTTAATTCTTTAATTTGTACAATGTAATGATGCTTATGGTTTGATGGTTGAGGGAATAAGAAAGTCTGTAAATGTAAAGAAGAGTGCTTTTATGAGTGGAGACGGGTGAGCAAATTGAACCGAACCAAACCAAGGCCATAAAATACAAATCAAACTTTTGAACTGAACCAATCGGTTTTGGTCAATTTTGATCAGTTTTTGCCCTTTTGATTCGGTTTTAAGTTCAACTGAAGAATTTACATGAAAATGACTCAAGCTAAACAATAAATTTGGTTTAAACCGGTTAACCAAACCTCTCAAACACCTAATCAAACCGAACCAAAATGGATTGGGGTTTTTTTTTTTTTTTTTTTTTTTTTTTTGTTCTAGTTGACTTACTCTTATAGTAAGCAAATCTTATCTCTTCTTCAAAAGAAAAAATACAAAGAAGAAAATTAAAGACCAAGATTGGAGCCTCATTCTTTAGTACGATGATCTTCTTAAATAGTGTGTTTTTTTCAACAAATAGTTAATCTGAAACAAAAATTTATGATCATAATAACTTAATATATATCCTAAAAAACAATTTTATTGATTATCTCATCATTTTTTTTAAATCACTATTTGCAAATTACAGCACACGTTCTTGTAGGAATATTATGAGGCTCATATGCATAATTTGATAACAAATACATTATAAAATCTCAATGATTATGTGTAATTGTATGTTTCTTTGAATTAATAAAAAAAGTCTGAAAAAACCTGCGGTTGTCGCTCAATTGGCAATGCAGGCGGGACATGCAGGAAGAGTTCTTGGATTCTATTCCTACTAAACACACTTGTATGGAGAGACAAAGAGTCGAATTAGGCGATCCTTGGTAATAAGATCCGAGTACCAGTGATTTATACTAAAAAAAAGTCTAAAAAGAATTTAGTAATGATTTGTATATTTGCATATTACTCCCTATGTTATATTCAGATAGAGAAAACTAACTTTTTACACAAATTAAAAAATTAGTTTAATTGTAATTTTTGTTCATTTCTTTCCTTATTTTCCCCAAATCAGCATTAACTCCCTCTCAACTTTCTTTGCTAAGCCATATATGTAGGAGAGAGAATTTTAGTGCATTTAAGGTGAGATTAAAGATTTCATTTAGTTCTAGGATGTAATTAAGTAAAAAAAAAAAAAAAAAAAAAAAAACCCCAAATCAGCATTAACTCCCTCTCAACTTTCTTTCTAAGCCATATATGTAGGAGAGAGAATTTTTTAGTGCATTAAGGTGAGATTAAAGATTCATTTAGTTCTAGGATGTAATTTAAGTAAAAAAAAAAAAAAAAAAAAAAAAAAACAGAAAATGGAAAGTTCAAAGTGATTGAAAACAGATTTGGAAATAAAAATCAAAATTTTCAAAATTAAATTTGGCTCTAAAACAAATTTGAAGTTGTGAATGAAAATTTAGGCGTAATTTTTCGCGTTTGAAGCAAATTTTTTATTTTTCAAGAGTAAAAGTCTCTTCAAATTCCACAAATTTGCCTTATATAAATGGACAATATCTCACAACTAAAACGAATCCATCTAGAGATTCAATATGAACCCACCAAATCAGTTTGATCTTAACCAGGTCCCAGCAAACTGACATGCAAGTGAAGAAGATGTCCGCATTTTCACAAACTTGTTTATAGATCTCAAGTTTGTTCCCACTGAAGAAGAATATGGTTTTGCAGGTAATCCGATCGTACAACCATCAAAAACAGTGTTACACAAATGCCAAGAAGAGGAAACAAACGAAAAAATATTTCTCAAGAAGTAAAAAATTATGTTCATAAAATATTGCTTGCTGATATGGAAAAGGGTGTGGAATATGCACGCAGTATTGAACAAGTTGCAAACATATTTTCAATTTTTGTGAAGTCAGTCTACAAAATTTGGCACAATGCTAAAGATGAGTTAGAACATACTGTTGGAGTGAAACGTCCTTAGAATAGAGGCAAGAAACGAGTTGAAATCCCTCCTGAAAAGATAAAACAAATCCCTATGAGAAGAAGAACCACCATTCGTTCTCTCTCTCATAAACTAGGTCATTCATTGTTATGTGTGGATAGACTCATAAAAAAGGGCAATATCAAAGCACACTCTAATGCAATCAAGCCACTTCTGAAGGATGAGAACAAAAGCAACGGAGTTCAAATTTGTCTTTCGATGCTCGATGTAGGTACAATTAACAACAAAATTTCATTCCTCAACATGGAAAATGTTATTCACATTGACGAAAAGAAACGCAAAAGTTTTATCTTGCAAATGATGAGGATAAGCCTTTGCGCAGATGCAAAAGCGAGTGCTTCATTCCTAAAATTATGTTTCTAGCAGCAGTTGCTAGACCTAGGTTTGACACAAATGGATAACTTATTTTCGATGGTAAAATTGGAATTCAGCCTTTTGTTAACAAAAAGCCAGCTAGAAGGAATAGCAAAAATCGGGTAGGAAGAATGGAATCAAAGCCAATCATGTCGATCACCAAAGATGTAATAACAGAAATTTTAATTGGCAAGATGTTACCTGTAATCAAAGAAAAATGGCCACAATTGGGTTCAAGTTTAGGTGATTAAATTTTTAATTGTATATAATGCAAATTTGAAACTAATTTTAACTTATTTAAAACTTTTAAATAATTTTTAAAATAAATAATGTTAAATAATTTAAAATTAACATGCATTAAAAAATTTTAATTTTAAGTGAATCAAGTGTAGTCGAATTAGTCTTTTTATTAATAATGAAAATGGAAGGTTTTAAGTTCGAGACCTTTTGACAAATGAGGAGTTAGGACAATTATTTTGGAGGAGTCAACAAAAGTTTTTAAAATTTTTAAGAGGTCAAATATAATTTTTTATAAGAATTTTTTTTTAGTTTCTTGGGAGGTTAGGCCTCCTTTAGTCTCTATAGAGCTCTTCTCTCGGTCTTGATCATAAGAGTCTTGCTCTTAATCATAAGAGTCTTCATTAATTTAGTGAATCAGAGAGGGTTATGCTTTCATTACAGTTCTAATGTTATTTAATGAATTTTTAAAAATAAAATTTTAATTTTAAATATTAAATAATGTGATAGAACACTGGTCAAGTTTTCCTCTGTTCAAGTTGTTTTCGAAAGCAGAAATGTAATAGAATGAGGGTCCACTATCTTCATTCTTTTATCTAGTATAGGTACATCCAACACAAGTGGTTAAACATAACGACAAAAGAGACCCTTGTCTGTAGTGAAGATAGCTTGCATGCTTAGCTCCTAAGACCAACCCACTTCAACTAAATTAATATTGTGAAGATAGGTTGACTGAAATAACATTTTAGGACTACACGGTGAAGGTTTGCAATGGATAAGACTCAGATTCGGACTTTTCACTGCCTACAAGAGATATAAAATTTAATATTGGAATGAAATGAATATGAATTCCAAACGAATTACATAAAAATTTATAAAATTCACTCCTGTTAGACATAAATTTTCATTAACAACTTAGTGTTAAATATCAAAATTTTCAATTTCTTTTTAATCAGGATTTAAAATTATTTGGACTGAAAAAACAAGTTAACCTAAATTCAAAATTAAAGAAGAAATTTAATTTGATGTGCATAAATTAACTCGAGAGTGGCACTTAATAAACTTATTAAAGCAAAAAATTTTCAAAAGTAGCCCTAGAATGAGCTAGATAAGGGCAATTGCTTTTCTTTGCGAATTTCGAAGTGGGCCAAGTCTGCCAACAATAAGAGGGCTAGTTCATACAGAGACAAAGACAAAAAGACCAAAAAAAAAAAAACAAAAAAAAAAAAAAAAAAAAAAAAAAAAAAAAAAAAAAAAAAAAAAAAAAAAAAAAAACAAACAAAAACAAAAGAAAGCTCAGTAACACAAAGTACTTTTCAAAAGAGAAATATCGAAGACCATAAAATATTTGTTGAAACTTAAAAGCAATTTGCACATAATGAGAAATGAGACATCCAATTCTTATTAATAACAATAAAATGTTTTGGACTTGATAATTTTTCCAACATTCAGCCACAAGAACACTGACCAAACAATCATCATGGTAGCAAGAAACTTTCAAAAATGCCATAGCGAATGGGAATTTCTCACACCATTATGACAGTATCATCAGTAGACATCAGACATATGTAGCCAATTTCCACGAAAATAATGCAAATATAGAAATAATTACCATCCATATCCACCAAATCTATATATTTTTCTTTTTTTCACAAAGAGCTATCATAAGTTGCCAACACATAAATATAGTGAACCTTGTCCAGAATCCCTTCTTTCCCTCGTACAACAGCCAATGCATTACTACACCTGCTAGCTACATAAAATAACAAAAGCCTTCTGTCATTTGTCTTTCTATCATGGACCTTCCCATAATTTAGTTAACAAGGAATTTCCTTTCATGATTCAGGTTGAAGTGTGCTATTTTTTTTTTTTTTTTTTTTTTTTTTTTTGTTCTTGTTCCCCATTCTTTTTTCACATAATTTATATCTTTTTTTTTTTTTTTTTTTTTTGTCTTTGTCCCCATTTTTTTTCACATAATTTATATCAGAAACCGTGATTGCTCCAGACAACAATCGGGTTCAAATACCTAATCCAAAAGAAAATTAACTTTTTAACATCAATGCTGCTTTTCCTTTCCATACTACCCCTTGAGCACATATAATCTACCACTGCAAGGAGTGAACTCTACGGAGTTTACGAGGTGGTCTTCTCTTTTCCACAACAGGCACCACTTTCTCCATAAGCTGTAGGGACAAAAAAAAAGGGACGTACATGAGTTAACGGTGAAAACAAAAATGTATAAGCTAATGGTTTATGCTTTACTAACCCTATTTTTCCTTATCTCCTTCCCATCAATATCATATGATCTTGCTTGCACAAATGCTCAAATCCATGGAATCAAGATCAAAGACGATGAAGAAATAAGTTATCATCTTCAAGCAATGATTTCTTTTCTTCAAAGTTTATAGCATATTATATTATCATATATGGAGAAGTTTTCCACACAAAATGAAACAAATAAATAGACAATTTACCCTTGTTCTTAAAACTCACTTCCAGTTCAGTTCATCTCTACAACTTTATTCTTGAAACTTTTGAAGAGAAAAACAACATAGCTATTCCATTTATGATATAGAGAGTTGGAGTAGGCAATTTCAGATAATCTTATAGAGAAACGAAGACCTTCATGCTAACATATTTACCTATGATTCTTTTTTTATTATTATTTTGTATTCCTTTTTCTTTGAGGGGAAGGTTTAGCCTTGAACTTCAACCGATGACAAATGTAACAGTTAAGCCCCTCTTAACTGTTTACTTTATCTATGATTCTAGAAGATAATGTTTATCACAGATAAAAACAAACATAATACCAAAAATTCCCTTTCATATCTACAGATACAATAATAGGGGGGCTTCATGGAAAACGGGCTCAATATATCAACGAATTTTGTGAGCAAACAGGGGTGAAACTAGACTTTTTTTTTTTTTTTTAGACTTTTTTTTTTTTTTTTGGGGGGGGGGGGGGGGGTGGGGGTTGTTTAAAGAGGAAAAGAAATTTGAAAGCCTCAAAATTAGGGCCTACGAACGGATATTTTTTAAAAAATATAAAATATGAAAATTTTTGGGAGAACTAACTAAATTTTGGAAACATGTTGGTAAGGCAATAAGGACATATAATATAAAAATACATATAAACTTTCAAGAGGTGAGAAAAGATAAATTTGAAAAATCTTGAGGAGGCCAAGCTTAAGGTGTTTTCCCCTGAGCAGGGGGGGGGGGGTTGTTAAAGAGGAAAAGAAATTGAAAGCAAAATTAGGGGCCTACACGGATATTTTTTAAAAATTAAATATAAAATTTTTGGGAGAAAATATAATTTTGAAACATGTTGGTAAGGCCAATAAGGACATTTTAAAAATACATATAAACTTTAAGAGGGAAAAAGATTAAATTTTGAAAAATCTTGAGGAGGCCAAGGCTTAAGGTGGTTTTCCCCTGAGCAATTATGATTCTGACTTCTTGCATTTTATGCATTATGACTCTGCTTTCTAGGCTTCCATATCCATGTTATGCAGCAACGCTCTGCTAAAAGATTAATTTTTCTCTTTAAAATTCTTATAACAATGTTTTTTTTTTTTTTTTCCTACTTCCCTCAATATCAAAAGCTCTAAAACTCTATGAAACAGCTATGGAACTTCTACATTTCAGACATTTCTCATCCTTTTATGAGACAAAGCTTATGAACCAACAAGTTGCTTTCAGATGTGATCAAACTCCCTCATGACCTACTCAGTATAATGGAATAACATTTGAAAGACAAATCGACACTAATTCCATTTTGTAGCAGTAAATTTTAGCAATGTGTGGTTTGCTAGACTACTCTATTTCCTTCAGTCTTTAAGTTCAGAATCAACATGAGAATCAAAAGATAGTTGCATCGTCCCTTTTTGCTCTAGGCCAATTTCAATGAGAAAAACTAAGAAGTGGCACCTGTAGCTCAACCAAAACTATTATATTTGGAAGGAAATAATCCTACAGTGCTGTTAGGAACACAAGATATATATACTACTACATATTTTATCCGGTAATCAGTCACATGTAGGATGCCAACGAGCTGCAAATGATGAGTGTAGAATAATTACAGAAATCCATTCTTGCTTTTTCTCAATTCTCTTTCTCTCTTCTTTCCCTTTCCCCTCCAATTTTCCTTCTCTTTCTCAACTTGTCCCACTGTTTCTCACCCTCAAATCACCATTTTAGGACGGATCCTAATAACTACTTTATGACTAATTTATATTTGATAAAAAATGAAGTATGGGGGGGAAAGGAAAAATTTTATTATTATTATTATTTTTAAATAGTAGTTACCGTATGCTTCTATTTTCACTTTAAAAATCATCAGTATGAAAGATTCAAAAAATGTACATGTAGGACTACAATTTAAAAGGAATTTCAGGTTGGCTGACATGCTTTAGAAAAAAGGATTGATCACTTTCAAAAGCAAGACACAGGATTGGGAAAGAACATCCTAGATGCAGTTCAAATTGCAAAAGACTTGTCATCCAATTTTGCAAAAAAAAGAAGAGACAGAGTAGATAGATAGTCTAAACTTCTGGGTATTAACCATGAGCCCTGTCCTTGTCATACAATATTGGAAACTAGAAAGATCACACAGTATCCCTGAGGAATCCATAGACTTTCAGTACTTCAAAAATAAGATATTGCCATTTGTGCCTCTTCTTTTGAAATTTAGAAAATTTTTAAATATGTTGATGAATATTTATTCCTATCATCCACACACATGTGCATACATACCCGACCTTTTGCATATGTGTCAGTCCCAAGCCCACACCATTGCAAGGAAAATCATAAACAAAATCATTTTTGTTTGGCATTAACTTAGAAACAAGATGTCTAGCACCTCTCATGAAAAAAAACAAAATCTACGTTGAGAAAAAAAACTCTCCAAAAGTTTATACTCGGCTTCTTTCTCCCTCTCTCATCCATCTCTATTAGTTTTTGGGTCAACTTAGCTGGTCCTCTACCATAGTTCATAGTTTTCAACTTTTTGAAAATTTCTAACTTAATCAAATGCAAGCATCTCCATATTTCCAAAACAGTAACAACATCAACATAAAATTCATACCTGCTTGAACCTTTCTCTAGTCCTCTCTTCCTGAAAATCAAATATCTTTGGTTAGACATGAGAAAATGAACAAAATAATTGTTGAGGAATGTGGAAGCAGAGAAAACCCAACACAAAGGTCAAAAAGATCAAAAAAATAATCTCAAATAAAATATTGATGCTCTCTTTCACCATTACCCATTTACAACTAACAAACATAAGAATAAGATTATAAAACAAACACAGAAGAAGAAACCCAAGAGTATATAATTGCATTGGCTTGAAGCAAGCAATTTCTCAATATGCATAGGACCATGAATGAACTTGGCTGTAAATTTAAGAACCACAAGGCAACTGCTGTATGCCATAACATTAAATAATCACATGTGCATTAACAAAGTTGATATGCTCTATGTTCCATGACCACTCTCACATACAGAAACAAATTTATTCCAACAGCACAGGGTGGAATTCTAACAATTTTATGATTCAGTTGTAAATTTAAACTAGCTATGAGTTGCACCAACTACAACTAACAAAACCAAGAAAAAAAGAACAAGCAGCATAACAAAAACTTAACCAGAATGAAATAAATATGCAAATGCAAAGAACAAATAAGTCAGATTTTTGATGCTGCAGAGATTTTTAATATACTTTCTTTTTCTCATTAATGGCTTCATACTCTAGGAAAGTCGGTCACATACTACAACGCTTGTTTATTTACTCTAACGAATGAGATGAGAACAAATTAGAAGCATTGCTTCAGGAATCAGTAACCTGAAATCAGCATCACCAATTAATAGAAAACCTAATAACTTATATTAATGGTACGATATACTTCACCATTGAGCACCCAAACTAATCGCGTCTTTTTTCTTATACCTGCCTACAAGTAGTTCAGTCAGTAATGAGATATCACTAGTTAAAGCCATTTCTTGGATTCAGAGTAAGTCCATTCACATTAAACATGCCCAAAGAACCATACTATCAGAAAATAGCTTAATCGACAGACAATTTACCAACAATAACAGAATTTTAAAGCACTGAAGAAGTGTAAGGGCGCTAACTTCAAATAGCAAGCTTAGATAGCTCGGAAAATATGGAAGTTACTATTTTAAAACCTATGGATTAGCTACAAATAGTACCTAATCTGAATAATCTATCTGCAACGTGAGTATATGTTGAACTATCTCCATATGCAAACTTACAATTCCAATTTTTTTTTTTTTTTCTAAAATAACAACAATAATTTACCTTCTCTTTGAGCAACCGCTCATTCTCCGCCTCTAGCCTTACTGCCATAGACTCCAATTCCACTTGATAAGCCTAAACCCAGAATGCCCACATTTAGAAAGAGATACACCTTAACCAAATTTAACCAAAGGACACACATACAAGCAAAGAATTTAAGCAAAAACCCATAAAAATTTCTACTTACTGACCTGTTTCCTCTCTCTAGACCTGGCAGCTGACTCTCTATTCTTGATCATCCTCCTTTGTCTTTGCTGTGCGGCCTTATCTAATGGTTCCATTACCGCTGCCCTCCCTCTTTTCCCTCTGCCTAAGACAGTCCCTTCGCTACCAGCAACCACCTCCACTCCATTCCCAAACCCCACAATTGACCCCTCAACTTTATCCAACATCTGGAACGCGCTAGGTGGAACAGGATCAAACGCATAAACTCCTCCACTTGGCATCTTGACCTCATCATCTTGTTCGACATCCGCCGCCCCAGCTTTAGCCAGAAAGTCCTCCAACGTCATCATCTCATCAGGCTCCTCCTTCATCTCCTTCCTCCCTGCCACAATTTCCCTCCATACATCATCCACGGTTTTATTACTCTGAGGAAGAACAACACTATTCATTTCTTGATTACTGCTATTACTAGCATGATTTGTCGTTTCAATTATTGTCGCCGTCTGCAGCGTAGGAGGCGGTGATGTTGGGAGAACGGGCGTAGGTGTATCTATAAGTGTAATTTGGGCATCAAGGAGAGTAGACTCAGCGGATGGAGTAGAATAGACATCACGTAAAATTCCGTCGACAGTCATTGTAGACGCCAACGATGACGACGACGTAAGATTACGATAGAAGCTTTTTATTCGATTAGATTGTGGTTTCGTAGAAGCAGAAGCAAGACCAGCAGAAGAAGAAGAAGCAGAAGCGCGTCGAGATCGAGTAGCTGCTGATGATGATGTCAGATCCGAATTTTTCGGTTTCGACGACGCCATCACCTTCGACGACGCCATTTTAGGAGTTTTCTCCTTTTCTGCTCCGATATTTCCTATCTCTCTCTAGGATTTACAGTTCACGGAATTCTCACTTTTTTTTCGTTTTTAAGTTTTCTAAATTACACTCTATACAGTGTGTATTTGAATTCCCATTCCACCTCTAAAACATATTGAAGAATTGATTTTGATTTTCACTTTTCAGTATAGGGTTTGGGGATTTTGGGTTTTGGGCTGTTAGTCTGTTGGGATCAAGGAAACTATCGTAAGGGAGCGTGTGCGCGTGAATGTTGTTTTGCATTGTTTTTTAATTTTCTTTTAGGAGAATTATTTTATTAATATTACCGGCAAATTATTTAATTTATTTTTTAAATTTAATTTCTTGAACTATTTTTACCTTTATATAAAAAAAATTAACTATTTAACTTTTCACACTTAATATAATTATTATTGTTTTATGTTTCATATTTTTTATTGTTCGACATTTAACAGTTAAATTTTTTTTTTCAAAATAAATAATAGGATTGAATTAACTTGGTTAAATTTAAAGGATTAAACAATAATTTTATTTGTTTATTTTTTTATTTTTTTGACTCCGTCTTGTTTTTATTTCTTTTTTAGGGAAAAGGCTAGGGTGACAAGACGGCATCTGGTGGCTGTGACATAACTTTTAATGGTAATTGGAGGCATCTACCAGAAATGGGAAGTAGGAACAGTAGATGATGCTTCACGGACGGTACGATAGTCCGGCTTTTTGTTTGATTGATGTAATTGATGTGTGTGGTTTTAATTGGTAGGTGGATCAGTGTACCTACTATATGTTGGGACATTGTGGGCCCGTTTCAGTGCTACATGGGCTCTATATCACTAGACAGCCCATTTTCCTAATTAAGCCCGTTTCATTATCATCTATTTGTATAGGGATAATTACTATGTAGTCCGTAGGTTTTGTTCAAATACACGCGGTAAAGATCTCAGTTTTTAAAATTATACTACCATTTAAGGAAAAATAATTATTTCATTCCTGAGTTTTCTATAATTATTTAAATAGTTCCCGATATTTATACAAATATTTATAACATCTCTTAGATTTACTTCCGTCTTATTAATTGGTCCTTTTATCCAAAAAATATATTTTTTCCGTTAATTTTAAGAGAAAAAGACGAAATTATCTTTTATAAGTTTTCATTATTTCGTCCTTGATGTTTGCCATAATTATTTAAATAGTCCCTAACATTTATATAAATATTTATAGGTAATAGAAATTCTCATGCGTTTTTTAAAAAATATTACTACCATTTAAGGAAAAAAATAGATTATTTCATTTCCTGAGTTTTCTTATAATTATTTAAATAGTCCCGATATTTATACCAAATATTTATAACATCTCATTAGATTTACTTTCCGTCTTATTAATTGGTCCTTGTTATCCAAAAAAATATATTTTTTCCGTTAATTTTTAAGAGAAAAAGACGAAATCTATCTTTTATAAGTTTTCATTATTTCGTCCTTTTGATTGACGAAATTATCTTTTATAAGTTTTCATTATTTCGTCCTTGATGTTTGCCATAATTATTTAAATAGTCCCTAACATTTATATAAATATTTATAACATCCCTGAGGTTCACTTCCATCATATTATTTGATCCATCATATTATTTGATCCTTCTGTCCAAAAAACACACATGTTTCCTTCTCATTCGCTCACAAAAATGGTATAAACAAATTCCATAAAGCTCAAAGTAGAATGAATAACATCTACTTGAGCATCAAACATGTTCATATACTTAATCTTTGTATTTGCATCCAATGCATTATTTTGCTCAATAACCTTAACAATTAATCCCAGAAAGGCAGAAACAGTAACCATATGCAAAATCTGCCAAAAAGAAGACCAATATAGCAAAACAAAAATTTACACAGCACATTTAGCTTACTCTTGTTCACTTGAAACCCGACACCACCATTAACAAATGCCCATGTAAAATTTAAATCATAAATTGTAAACTAAATTTAAAGTAATCACCTAGTTTAATTTAAACTCAAAATTGAACAAGCAAATTAGAAATTTAGAAATTTACCCAAAATTTAGATTAAAATTTCTAAATTTTGGGGTAAATTTAAAGGATTTAGGGTAGTTGAAAGGGAGGATATGTTAATTAGAGGATTTAGGGTAGTTTGGTCATTCTATTAAAAATTAACAGAAAAATGTAAAAATTAAAACAGAAAAACATGTTGGTTTTTTAGACCGGAAGCGTTATCTAAATTAAATATTACTGCGATAGTGTAACCTCAGGATGTACCTAAACTATTTTATATAGATGGTCAGGACTACTTAAATAATTATGGGGCAAACCTTAGAGACGAAATAATGTGGGAAAAACCTTATAAAGATAATTTCGTCTTTTCTTTCTTCAAAAATTAATGAAAAAAAAAGTGTGTTTTTTTCTTTGGACAGTGGAATGCACCAATTAATAAGACGGAAGTAACATCAGGAATGTTATTACAATATTTTATATATAATTGTCGAGCACTACCTAAATAATTATGGACAAATCTTCAGGGACTTTAAAATATTAATTATTTTTCCGCATTATCTCTAATTCTTCAGTTATTAAATCCGTCTATGCGTATAAAGTTGCAACGTTAGTGTTTTTGCATTAATATGATTGCAAATTATTAAAGAATGAAATATTCCCCTAAAAGATAATTCAAAGTTTAGTGGTCATTTAGTTAAGTGAAAAGTACTCACACAATTGATCTTAATTTTCATAAATTTACACTTATTTAGTATATATATGAGTAACTTTGTTTTAGGGTGTTTTTTTGATATGTTCACAACCATCCTAACGGAATAAAAAAGCTAATTGTTTTGATCTTTAATAGTATAATTAAAATTATAATGCAGGTATTAGAAATAGGTGTAATTTTAAGAAATTAGATTCATTATAACTTATAAAGGATAATTTCGTCTTTTCCTCTCAAAAATTAATGAAAAAAGTGTGTTTTTTTGGACAGAATGACCAATTAATAAGACGGAAGTAAACATCAGGAATGTTATAAATATTTATATAAATGTCGAGCACTACTTAAATAATTATGGCAAACTTCAGGGACTAAATAATTATTTTCCCATTATTTAATTCTTCATTATAAATCCGTTATGCTATAAAGTTCAACAGTTAGTTTTTCATTAAATGATTGCAAAATATAAAAAATATCCCTAAAGATAATAAGTTTAGTGTCATTAGTTAAGTGAAATATACAATTGATCTTAATTTTCATAAATTTACACTATTTAGTTATATATAGTAACTTTTTTAAGGGTGTTTTTGATATTTCACAACCACCTAACGGAAAAAGCTAATTGTTTGACTTAATAGTATAATAAAATTATAATGCAGGATTAAATAGTGTAATTTTAAAAATTGAGATCATTATTAGTGATTTGATAAAAATATAGGGACTATATAAAGTAATTCTCATATTTCTTTACCCAATGTGAGATGCAAATGGAAATGAACTTTAACCTTTTCTTTTACTCATTAAATATCTTAATTTATAAAATTATAAACGATAGACATTTTAAGTGGTCTATGAAAACTTTGATTGATTTCCTTAATTTGAATTTTTATTTTAGTTTGTTTTTTTTTATTTTTCAAATAATTCTCTTAATTACCGTTAAATAATAATAACTTAAAATAATTTTGATATTTAGATATATAATTCTCGTGTGAACGATACGTTATTCACTATTTTATTATTTGTTACAATTTTGTACACTTGCAAAATCAATCATCACTTGTTATTTCAAATCACTTGTAGAACTGAACACACCACTTGAAGATCAAACAGAGAGAGAACCATAAACATTTTGTTAAAAGTCAATCAAAGACCGAGACATCATTCTGCAGATGAAAAATGTCTGACAAGCCATGAATAGTATGGGACCAACACTCACAAGCAAAATTACAGTCAAGAAAAAGGTGTTGTAATGTCTCAACACTTAAAGCACACACAAGGCATCGTAAATCCATATCGATGCCCCGAGCTTGCAAAAGGGATCTTACAGGCAAGGAGGAATCACAAATACACCAAAGTAAATTCTTCTACACTGGCAAATTGAAAGTTTTCATAATCTAACCAAAAAAAAAAAAAAAAAAAAAAAAAAAGTTGCATATTAAAAAAAAAAAAAAAAAAAAAAAAAAGTTGCATATTATTAGGTTTTAAAGAGGAAGTGTCATAAGCTTGGATTTGAACCTATCCTACCTCTAATAAAGAACTAAAAGGAAAGTATTGAGCTTGGAGTCACCAAAGCATTTGGATGGGTTAAAATACATCATACTTGCTTGCCCAAGGGATCGAGATTAAACTTGTGTAAACTCCTAAAATTCAGACCTCCCTCCCATTTGGAACAAAATATATGTTCCCATCATTTGCAACGAATACCATTATCCTCCTTCATGCATATGTTATATCATTATGACATTTTTATAAGGTCAAATCATTAGGAAGACATATTTAACATCGACAATTTTATACTTTCAACCAATTTTTTAAATTTTATTAATTGACATTTTGTATTTATTTTATTTTGTAACGATTATGACCTCTGATGATTATAATCTAAAATTAGTTGACGTCAAAGATGATAGAGTTAGAATAATTATTTTAGGAAGTCAAATAAAATTTTTTAAACTTTTAAGGCAAGATATAATATTTTTATATTTTAAAGGATTAAAATGTAATTTTTTATTTTTTTTTAAAAGAATTTCTTAGGGGCCGATTAGCCCTTTAGGCTCCCAAATAGTTGTGCCGCCTAATTGACATGACTTAAAAATTGACAGTGCAGTAACAAATTATTAACAAATCATCTCAGGAAAAAATAGTTTTATTTAATTAAATCGGTATTATTAATGAATCATCGAATGTTATTTATAGTCGTTACTATGTATTAATTTTTTTCAAATAATAAATATATGAAAAATTATTAATAAAATATAATATTTAAAAAATTCGCTACAGTAAAAGGATAAATATTTTATTAATAATTTTCTAAATATAAATTTTTTTTGGTTAGTTTTTCTTAATGAAGGTCAAAATAAGTAAAGGAAAAAGAGGAGAAATTATACTTTCTATTGTGAATAATTGTACAAAATACAATAAGAACCATGAAACAAAAGCATCCAAAATAAAATATTAAATACTATTCTTTAATTTGTAATTTATAAATAAATAAATAGTTACAAAACTGAAAAAGAAATTATATTTGATA